GCAAGTGAGATGATGAAAGCCAAGGTGTTTGTTGTCTATGACGTTTGGCAGCTCGTGGGGGCTTAAATCTATTCTTCTGAATGAGGTATGGGGAAATAGCAGCCGGGGTGGGTAAATTAGATGTGTATATTGCTCACCTATGAAAAGATACATTTTGAAAGAGGATGCTATCATGACTCTCATACAGATGTAAAATGAATACATATTAAAGATTTTATTTAACTCCGGAACGAATGGGGAACTGGTAGAGTTTACAATGAATTCAAAAGCAAATTCCGAATACCAGACATTGGCAGTCCAATATGAAATGCTGAAATGAGCTTACAAAGGATGCAAAAGTGGCCACTCTCTGCAGGGCAGCAGACAATTGCATTCCATTAGGCCCAATTTGCATTTCTATGGGGAAGGATTATTTGCATTACTACCAGTTTTCTATAACTTAATTTCTGTCCATCTGTTCAGGATTGTAAAATAGCCTGGTTGAAGACAAAGAGATGTAGAGATAACCCAAGTGGATGGATGAGTTAATCGAAGCGGTCACTAGCTATCAAATCTTTCACAATTTCCCCTTACAGACCCCAGACCAACTCAAAGCAGCTGCCTGAATTCCAGCTGCCTTCCTGGGCAATTGCATAAACCCTGGGTAAAAAGCTAGAAAACTCTGAGCTTGGCTCCAGAGTTTCCGATCAGTTGTCCTCGCTCCCCAACAAATCTAGTGGGTGGGTCAACCTAGGGTAAGCCTCCTGTGCCATCGAGGCCTCAATATCCCTATCTAGAAAATGAGTGCATTCCAGGGCCAGCACAGTGGCTTAGAAAGTTAAGCCCCTGCCTGCAGCATTGGCATCCCATATGGGTGCAGGTTCACAACCTGGCTGCTCCACTTCTGATCCAACTCCCTACTAACGTGCCTGGGAAAGCAGCAGAAGATGGCTCAAGTGCTTGAGCCTCTGCACCCACATGCGAGACCTAGAAGAAACTCCTGGCTCCTGGCCTTGGCCTGACCCAGCCCTGGTCATTGAGGCCACCTTGGGAGCGAACCAGCAGATGGAAGATCTCTGTCTCTCTATCTCCCTCTCTCTCTGTAACTCTTTCAATTAAATAAAATAAACCTTTTTTAAAAAAAGAAAATAAGTATAATAGACAGGTTGACTGTAAGTTCTATGTGAGAAAACAACGAGATAAGAGACTGAAAACTGCTATATACTATTGAGATATTTTTACTTGCCCCAACCCCTCTATCACGAGGAAATATTTATATTATCATTTGATTACCCTGGACAAAGGAAGAACTTTGTATGTCTCTCTAGCTGCTTTACCTACTCTAATGTTTGTTTACAACAAAAAACAAAACAGGAATTATCAGGAAGAGACAATGAAAAGAGTATTTAATGCACCCTAATGTATAATAACGATCAATTTTATGGGTCAACTTGAAGTATGTTTTTCGATAAGATTAACATTTAAACCAACACACTTTGGGTCAAGCAAATTGCTCTCCATAATGCTAGTGGAGCTCATCCAATCAGCAGAAGGCTTGAATAGAACAAGAAAAAAAAAATGCAGCCTTCATTCTCCAGCAGACTGCCTTGGACCTCACCTGCACCACGGACTCCCCTGGGTACTCAGGCAGCCAGCCTGGAGACACATTGCCACAGCAGCTCTCCTGGTCTCTGAGCGCCAGCCATGGACTAACACCACACCAACAACTGTCTGAGTCTCCAGGCTGCCATCTTCCACTGCAGGCGTGGAACTCGCCTACCGACATAATCTTGTGAGCCAGCTCCATATAATAAATCTCTGTCTCTGGACATAAGCATCCTCAGTTGTTTCTCTGGAGAGCCCTGAATAATACACGCACTACCCAATGGGGAGTTACTGTCGAGATGGCAAGCAGTGGGTGGTTTTGACTCTGTGCATGAAACCTGTGCAGCTTCAGGAAAGTACTTCCTGATGAAAACCTGGGCCCCTGATTTGTGGGAGGCAGCAAAGACGAGTTAGAGGCCCCAGCGGCCACGAAGGGCAGCCCAGAGAAACTAGCATTCTCACTGAGGAGCCTCCACTCTGTTTCAGAACGGCCCCTCCCCAGGGCAAGAGTCATATCAACAGACATCCCTGGCTTTTCTGATACGTGAGCCATGAGGAAGGATCAGAGAACCCGAGACCTTCTAGTCAAAGACTGAAGAAGTGTTACCATCCAGCCACGCAGCCCCCGGGGGAAGGAAGAGCCTGCCAGTACGAGGCTGGGTGCCAAGCTTTGCTGAGTCTCAGGATGAAGAAACAGTGGTACCACAGCAAACACCACAGTGACGTTTGCTGTGTCCTGCGGATGTCCAGGAACCGTGCAGAACACGTTACACGGAGCGTCAGAACGGATCATCACCAACGCCCTGGAAATAGGAAGCATTATCCCCATTCACCGGATGTGGAGATAGCTCCTGGGGGGAAGTAACTTATCTTACATCAACCCCCCACCCCCATTCCCCACACCGGGCCTGGGAAATGAAGGAGATCCCTGGAAAAGCAGTGTGGCCATCATGAGGGAAACTAGGGCCAGCCAGGGAACACTCCCCACATAAGCCTGGGAAAAGAAGGATGAGGGGAAATAGGTCACAGAGCGGGGTCAGACAGGGGGGCAGCTTCCGGAAGATGGTGCAGATAGGAGCCAGCATCTCTGTCCCTCCAAAGTCCAGCTGCTGCTCATTTGCACATCAGTGGTCACCAGCAGCACACCCCTTCCTCCTAACCAAACCGTACCTCCATCAACCAAGGAAGCAGTCACGGTTCCTGAAGGCAGTCCTCGTGGGCCCGTGAGCTTCAGCATCAGCCACGAGTAGAATGGCTTACTAGTTATTGATGGGCTCTATTTGCTGGCAGTTATACCTCCTTTCAGAAAGGCTGGGGAGCTACTGATGCGAAGTCACAGTCTCCCAGGCAAGACTTCTCAAGAGAGCTCTTCGGAGATGCCAAGTGAGGCGTGTGATGGGGAATAAATTATAAGAAAAAAGAGTTACCAGAGGTATTAGCTGGTTTGAAGAGCAGGCAAGCCTAGACGTCAAGACAGTGGGTTAGAGACTATCAGCTCTGCTACCTCAAAGCTGTGCAGGCCTTGACAAGTGGCTTAAAAAGAGAAGCATTTCATCAGTACCAAAGGAATGTGGAACTGGTAATGGGCTTCTATATTTTAAAGTACAGCTCAGTACACTTTTTCTATAAGCTCTCTGGATCATGCAACCCTGTTACAACCGCTCAACTCTGCTGCAGCTCTGTGCAGGCCACCATAGACCACACATGGCAAGTGCTGTGGGACAGTTCTGTGGGTGGTCCCTGCAGAGTTCTTGCCTGCTAGCTTGCAGCTCTCAAGCATAAGCACAGCATGCGCTGGGACATCTTGAGATAAGGAGGGACAGGCTGGAACAGCCTGGTCTCTGTTCCAGTCCACCCAGAACAGGATGTCCTTCCATACTCTAGTTCAAGGTGCATTGCTTTCCAGAATCTTTCAGTAGCACTGCAAGGGAGGTACGTGTGGACAAGACCTCTCATCAACCCAGGTACCTTCCTTGAGTCTTGGGGGATGAGTTCACCATGACCCCAGGCTGCTGCTGCCCCTTGCTGCAGACATGTAAGTAATAAACACACTTCACATACCTTGTTGCAGAGGAGTGCGTTCATTCTCTCTCACTGGACTCAGACAAGTTGGCAAGCAGCAGGCAGCAAATCTGCTTCAAAAATGAGTGCTGCTGTGTGCCAGTGAAATTTTATGGATGTTCAGATTTATATTCCACATGAGTTTCACTCTTCATGAAATAGTCTTTTGATCTTTTTTTCAGCCATTGAAAACACAAAACAAAAAAATCTTAGTTTTAAGCCACATTTAGAGAAAATTGTGCCATGACCAATAGCTGCCCCTAAGGTGCTGTATAAACAGGGAAAACTGAGTAGAAAAAGGGGGTATGTGTTTTTCTGTATTAACACGAAGCTTTAAAAAATAGCTGGTTACTAGCTTTGTGGTGCCAATAAGAAGGGAGCAGATGTCTGGGAAGATGGAGCTCCGTGTAGGCTGAGGCGGCATTCCCGACCCAAGGCATTTGGTTTGCACTGGAAGGGGGAGTAGGGTTTTCCCAGTTGGAGCCAAGATAGGAGCGTGAATATTTAAGGAAGGAAGGAAGAGCAAGGGCATGAGAGACAAATGGACACCTGCTAAAAGATAAGCAGACAAGAGCATGGCAAGGATGGGAAGTGCCGGGGCTCCAGCCTGCTGGCTCCTGGCTCCCACTCACTTACTTATTTCATCTCCCAGCTGCCGGAGGAACCATGTGAACAAATCAAAAACTCTAGACATGTCCTGCTCTAGGAGAACTTACTAACAGTCAGAAGATAGACATTCTATGGAGAGTTCCTTTAAAAATACACTAACAATGGACTTGAGGGAAACAATAATGAGGTAAGAGTGGCCCGCAACTGAGCACCTCTTTAACCAAACATCAGGTATTCTGCAGACAGTCCCTCATGTGCAACTCACACTCACTCTTCCAGGAAGGCCTGGCCATCCCATTGTCTCCCTTTTGCAGATGAGGATACTAAGACAAGATGAGCGAGGCTGGCGCTGTGGAACCATAGGCTAAGCTTCCACCTGCAGTGCCGGCATCCCATATGGGCACTGGTTCATGTCCTGGCTGCTCCGCTTCCTATCCACCTCTCTGCTATGGCCTGGGACAGCAGCAGAGGATGGTCCAAGTGCTTGGGCCCCTGCACCCATGTGGGAGGCCTGCAGGAGGCTCCTGGTTCCTGGCTTCAAATTGGCCTGGCTCTGGCCATTGCAGCCACTTGTGGAGTGAACCAGTAGATAAAGACCTCTCTCTCCGTCTCTCCCTTTTACTGTCTGTAACTCTGTCTCTCAGGTAAATAAATAAATCTTTAAATTAAAAAAAAAGGTGAGAGAATTTTCCACTAGGCTTGGTGACTATGATGGTCCTTAGAAGACTCAGAGGGGATTCAGAGAAACAGGCAAGTGACAATGTACAAGCTGTGGTCACCACACAGAGGGGAGCCTGTCACAGTGGTCAGCCAGAGTGTTCACAGGAGTGGCACAGTGGAGTATAGTTGTAGACTTCTTTCATCCTCCAGCAAACCTGGCATGGTCGATAGGAGTGATTATGGGGGCAGGCATTTGTCCCAGCCATTAAGATGCTGATTAATATGCCCACATCCCACATCTTTGTACCTGGGTTTGATACGTGGCTCTGGCTCCTGACTCCATCTTCCTGCTAATGCAGAACCTGGGAGACAACAGTGATGGTTCAAAGAGTTGAGTCCCTGCCACCTACATGGGAGACCTGAATTGTGTTTCTGGCTTCAGGCTGGGCCAGTCCCTGACATTGTGAGTATTTGGGGGATGAACCAGAGAATAGGAGTTCTCTCTGTGCATCCCCTCTCTCCATCTATCTGTCTCTCTGCCTTCAAATAAATAAATTTAAAAAGAAGACTGGTTATGGATGTCTTGCTAGGAATAGCATGCTCTAGAAAGAGTCATAGAGCAGCAGAATAATTAAATAACATTTCCAGGTCTCCCGAGAGCCATTGGACATAAACAAAGAAGCAGGTGAGCAGAGGAAGTTGAGAATTATTTGCATTTTGTTAATGTGCCTTCAATCAACAGACCCCCACCCCCCTACCAGCAGCAGCCGGTTCCTGCAATCTGGAAGAATGTATACTCACAAAGCACCCATTCAAAAGCCTTGGAAGCTGGCACAATGCAGCAATCAGACAGGCCTAGCTTTTCCATGGTTCTACACCTGCACCTGTTATCACAGCAGGAACTTCTTTATCAGCCTTTAGCAACTTACAGAATGGAAGAGCTTGTCTATCATCAGGTCTCTTCCAGCCTTGGGGGCAGGGATATATGAACCCATATCAAGGGATAATTAATTTCTTTTTCTGAAGAACCAATGAGCCTGGGTGGGTCTGGGCAGTTCTGAGTTTTACCATGTGGCATCAACATGACTGAGTTTCTTGGACTGCAAATGAACTCTAGTTCTGGGGGTGAGGATAAGGGTGGTGTTGGTGGCTGTAGCTGGAACCAGGGGGGATGGGCTCTACATTAGCATCCACCCCACCACTGTTGGGGAGAATGCATGAGCTGGCTTGTCAGGTGCGGAAGGAGGCTGAATGCTTTTTTGATTGCTATAATTGCAGCAAATTGGATGCTTGCGAGTGCCTCTTTAAAGAGAAGAATCTCATGGATGAGACTTAGGGAAGAGGCTCTTCTTCAGATCCCTCTCCTTTGTCTCATGTGTATGATATAATTCCCCAGCCATTATGGATTATGAATGGGCTGCTAATTTTAGTTGTGCAAGCCAAACAAAGACCCTGGTTGGTAGATCCGGAAGGTGATTCATCCGATATGTTTGCACGATGCAAACTAAAGGTCTTGACAGAGCCCGTGATCATTCCAAACTTTGCATAGTTGGATGACTCCTTAAGTGGCCACCAGCACTGGCAAGCAGACAAGAACTCCAGCACCTTCTTTTCTGATTAAGGTGTCTTTCTGTCTGCCAGTGCTGAGAGTTTTGAGTGTTGGAATCTCCTCTCGATCTTCTCTTAACTGGCTGGGAAAGGAGAGCAGCTGCGACACCAAAGTCTGGAAAAGACCTGAAGTCAAAAGCCAGAGACTCAACAAGAAACCACACCCGATGTCATTGACTCCTTCGCAGAAAACAGAGAAGAATTAAGAGGATTTCACAGCCCTTGGGAACAGAAATTTAAGACGTGTTGAAGAAAATCGAACACGCCTGGTTCCTTTTATTGGTTTGTTTTCAAGTGGACCTTGAACTTTTTGAGCTGAGGGCTGTAGAGTCAATACACTATTCCTTTTTACTATCTATTTAATTCTTTAATTTGAAAGGCAGATAGAGATGGTGACAGAAACAGAAAAAACAGAGAATTCTCTTGCACTGGTTCACTCACCAAATGCCCACAACAGCTGGATCTGGTCTAGGTTGGAAGCCAGGAGTGAGGAGCTCGAGCCAGGTCTTCCATGTGAGTTGTAGGGACTCGACTCCTTGAGCCATTTCCTGCTGCCTCCCGGAGTGCACGTGAACAGGAAGCTAGAATCAGAAGCAGAGCTGGATCTCAAACCCTGACACTCTAATACGGGATACAGGAGTCCCAAGAAGCATCTCAACGATTGCGCTGAATCCCACCCCAGTGTATTACTTTTAATAAGTCTGTCATCTCAAGCCCCAAATGGTAGAGTTAGAAACATACCAGGGGACTCCAATTTAATCCCATCAAGGTAGCATGTACCAATGCCATCTCACCAGTCCAAGTGATCAATTTCAGTTCACAATTGATCATAATGAAAGGACTGAGAGTCAAAGGAAGCACATAAACAAGTCTAGTACCTGCTAATACTAACTGATAGAATAAATAAAGGGGAGAGTGATCCAACATGGGAAGCGAGATACTCAGCAGACTCATAGAATGGTGGATGTCCTAAACAGCACTCTGGCCTCAGAATCAGCCCTAAAGGCATTCCGATCTGGCTGAAAAGCCCATGAGAGTATTTCAGGCATGGAAAGCCAAGACACTCTGGCAAAAAAAAAAATTATATTAAAGAAACAACCACCACCCTAAATTGAAAGATCTCTGTGAGTGAGATCCCAGTGGAAAGAACAGGTCTTCAAAGAAGGAGGTACCTTTCTCTGAAGGGAGGAGAGAACCTCCACTTTGACTATGACCTTGTCTAAACAAGATAAGAGTCGGTGAACTCAAAAGGCTTTCATAGCCTTGGAAACTCATGACTGGTGCATAGGGAGATTACTGATGCCATAAACAGGAGTGTCAATTTGTTAAGTCAACAACAGGAGTCACTGTGCACTTACTCCTCATGTAGGATCTTTGTCCTTAATGTGCTGTACATTGAGACTTAATGCTATAATGAGTACTCAAACAGTATATTTCGCTTTGTGTTTCTATGGGGGTGCAAACTGTTGAAATCTTTACTTAATGTATGCTAAACTGATCTTCTGTAAAAAAAAAAAAAAATTATCAATTCCCAACTTGACTCTCACTGGGATTAAACATGACAATAGGTCTGATCTGATTTCATCAGCATTTAAAAAATCATCTATTATTTTTCACTTTATGTTTGTGTGGGAGCAAACTGTTGAAATCTTTACTTAATGTATGCTAAACTGATCTTCTGTATATAAAGAGAATCGAAAATGAATCCTCATGTGAATGGAAGGGGAGAGGGAGTGGGAAAGGGGAGGGATGCGGGTGGGAGAGACGATATCCGGGGGAAGCCATTGTAATCCATAAGCCGTACTTTGGAAATTTATATTCATTAAATAAAAGTTAAAAAAAAATAAGTCTGTCATGATAACTAGGAGGACATTGTATTGGATTCCAAAGTTGGCTTTGCTTACTTACTATTAGCTAACTTACAGTAGTTAGCTCTGCTTCATTGGGCCTGAGAGTGACCAGGTTGTTACAATGTGCCAGGGACTTCCTCATCTTAGCACCACAGGTCCTGCATCCTGGGAAACCCTTCAGTTCTGGACAAACAAGGATAGCTGGTCACCTACTAAGTCACAAGATCCTTTCTAAAGATCCTTCCAGCAGTGGCATCCCGAGAGCCTGTGAGTCCATTCCCTGTATCCTGTTACTCTTCCATCATATGCAGAATGCTAGCTTCCACACCCTTCAAGCTTTGTTGATACAGTTCCCATTTCCTATAACTTTCTCTCCTGTCTTCCCAGCAGACTCTTACTCATTCTGAGATCTCAAATGCACATTTGTACCTATAGATAGGAAACAGAGTTATTAAGTGACATGCCCGTGGTCATCCAATCAGTGAGTGACAGGAGTAGAATTTGAATTCAGATGGTCTAGCTCCAGAGGCCAAATTTCTAATTGTTCCATATATTGTGTTCATACCTCTTCTGTGGCATTCGCTACATTACACTGATTGCTTCTCAACACCTTTATGTTCCATATAAAACTACAAACTCCCTGGTAACAGTTACAGCTTGTCCTGTATCCAAAGCAGCTAATTCTGTGCTGGCTCATGGTAGAAAGAGAATACTTATCTAATAAGAAGGTGAATAACTGTAGGCACCTAAGCAGAGGAGTGATGGTAAAGGGCAGCTGGGTGCCCTGGCATTGGGGAAATTGTATAAGCCTAGTGCAGAGGCCAGAGGATCTAAGACCAAGAAACCTGTAAGGTCTGATGGAAACCCTAGAAGTCACTGCTGAACTCTGGGTCTCAGAGCACACAGAGGACCAGAAGTGACACCCATGGCAGTTTTGAAGAGCATCCCATCTCCACATGCGTGTAGGTCCAAACATCCACCTACTCATGCTTGTCCCTCTCTCTGTCCCTCAGTGTCCGTGTGGGCATAGGGAAGAGCACCCACCCGAGAGGAAGGCAGAATTGTGTTCATCTCCACAAACAGATGGGTAAAGCTTTCTAGGTAAATGAGACAATGGAGAAAGTCCTTGAAAGGAAAGCAGGATTTTTTTAGGTGAAATTGGGGGAACTTTTATTTGAGCAGGGAAAAAAGCCCAGCATAATCAAAGGCACACATATTCATGAAGACGTTTTTTCAAAAAGCAAATAAAGTCCAACTTAAACAGTTTCAAATGTAGAAGGAATCATTGACTCACTCACCTGGGAAGTCCAGAATTAAAGCTGGCTTCAAAAGATGGAGGAGTCCATGGCTCAGCAACGCTTGTCAATTCTGCCGTACACAACGTTAACTCCATCCTGTGACTGCTTCCCCTTCTGCTCGTCTTAGCACGGCCAGAAGCAACCGTAACTCCTTTCTAGTGTCTGCTGTGAGAGAAAAAACACCTCAACCATTGATAAAAATCTTCTGATCGATCTGTGTCTGCAGCCAGAGAATGATCTGTGCTAATTACTCAGGTCTAGATAACTAGGAGCAATCATTGTGACAAAGAGGTCAAGGTTGGCCTGATTTATTTAGACTGATGTGGGGAACAAAACATAGTCTCCATTCCATCATGGTAACAAGAGGCCATGAAGTCAGTTGTTCCATAAACCCAACTTCACTAGAGCAGAGCATCAAAACATAAGACAGTAGAACAATGGGAGACGGATTAGTGACCTTTGGATATTGGATTAAAAGTACTGAACATTATCATAATGTTTCATCAAGTCCCACCCTAACATACTACCTCTATCTATCTCTTGAACTGTGTGTCTCTTCAGCCTTTTATTGTACTGACCAATGCATTTGTCTTCTCTGTGAACAATCTGAAGGGATTCCTGCCTCCGGAAAGTCAGAGGAATGGGTACATAGCAGACCCTTAGTGAACACCTGATTCAAGAACATTCATCCTTTGGCCTCTGGAGCGTAATGGAACACTCAGAGAAACACCCTGTAACTGTCTTCATGGTACCCAGAAGGTTTGGATGGCACACACGGAAAGCATAGATTCGGGTCTTTGTCTCTCTTCTACAAATTCACTGTGTTCCCTGGCATAAGTCACTTCCCATCTCTGCTCCAATTTGCTATGAGTATAAAAAGTAATTGATAATGTGGTGGTTTTACATTGTATAAGCAAAACTAAACTGAAACTAGAAATCCTAGAATTTTCTTCCCTAGAGTTCCAAGTAAGGCTTGACCTTGAGTTAATGTTCCAAGTCCAGTAAGATTTGGAAGGAGGAAGTGAAGGAGAGTTGCTTTGCTTTCTTTATCTTCTAGGGCCAATTAAGGCAGGCGCTGTTGCAGCTCGCACAGCTTGTCAGATATAATGGCTTACTTGATCAGTGTGGAGCAGAGGTGCAGCTCCTCCAACTCCTCTCACACCGATACCAGTCTCCCTGAGTCCCGGGCCAAGTGCAGGCACTACTCCGTAGTACAGGTGCCAGCCTAGCTTCCAAATCAGCAACATCACTGAGACTGAATTCTTTCAGGTTCTAGCGTTCCTGCTTTGTTCTGCCTCTCCTGCTCTTCCAGCCCTGCTGACACCCGCACCCTCTACCCAAAGAAGAACTATACCTTTAAATAGTCCAGATCACCAGCTGTCACAACTCTGTGTGGTGTAAACCTTGTATTATCCCTTATTCTACAGCACGCAATGCAGCTGTGCTTCTCTGAGCCCGAGTGACACACACCGTACTTGCTGAATGCTTCCTAAGTATGTGTCAGGTCCTTTCTCGGTCCCTCGCCTGTACTAGTTCATCTAAACCCTCACAAAATCTCTTGTGAAGCAGGAATCGTCTCCGTTTTATATTAGCTCTGTTTCACAGATGAGGAAACTGAATCCCTGAGAATGTAGGTAACTTACTGCACATCACACAGAAGTGAGAGGCTGAGACAGAGTTTTCCCTCTGGACATCAGTTAGAATCTATGCTTTTATCCATTGTTTTCTGTGGAATGAAAGGCCATTCTAGAAATCCTTGAACTCTCTTCCAATGTTAACATTCTATGAAACAAGTCCCGCATTTAATTTTTTTAAACATTTTACTTTATCTATTTGAGAGGTAGAGTTACAGTGAGAGGGAGAGACAGAGAGAAAGGTCTTCCTTCCAACGGTTCACTCCCCAAGTGGCCGCAACAGCTGGAGCTGCACCTATCTGAAGCCAGGAGCCACGTGCTTCCTCCTGGTCTCCCATGCGGGTGCAGGGCCCAAGGACTTGGGCCATCCTCCACTGCCTTCCCAGGCCATAGCAGAGAGCTGGACTGGAAGAGGAGCAACTGGGACTCAAACCAGTGCTCATATGGGATGCCGGCGCTGCAGGCGGAGGATTAACCTAGTTTACCATGGCGCTGCCCCCCCCCACATTTAATTTTTAACCCTTAGAACAAACAGTGGATCTCAAAGTGTGGTCTAAGAATCATTTACACCAAAATCACCTGAAAACTGCTTAAAGCACAAATTCCCTGAGCGCTGAATGTTTACAGACGTTCCGGGTGATTTCTGGTACACACTGACCTTTCAGAACCGCTCACTATCTTAAAATATTATTAGGAAGACATGCGTGTACATCCACATGCATGTGTGTGTGAGCGTGTTCGTGTGTCTATAAGCGAATGAGTATGTGCATGTGTATCTCTGCATGTATGTGTGGTGTATATGTCTATGGTATGTGTGTGCCATCTTGTGTGTGTCTGTGTATGTGTGGGATGTGTGTGTGTGTATCTGTGATCTAATCAAATGAGCATGTGTGCACAGAAGTATGTGCGTGTGCTGTGTGCACGTGTTGGTACATTTGTGTATGCACATATGTGGTATGTGTTTGTGTGTGTGCAAGTGCATGCCCCTGTGTGGTGTATCTCTGCATGTGTTGTATATATATGTGGTTATATAAGTTTGTGTACATATGTGATGTGTATGTGTAGTTGTTTGGATGCTTGTTTATGGTGTTTGTATTTCTGTGTTTCTGTGTGCTGTATTTGTGCATGTGTGTGGTGCTTGCATAGGCATGTGTGGTTTGCGTGCATATAAGCATGTATGCATGTGTGTGTCTCTGTGTGTAGTCTGTGTATGTATCCATGAATGTATGTGTGTGTCAGATGTTCGTGTGTATATTTGTATGTGCTTGTGTTTTGTGTACATCTGTGTGCATGTGTGTGTGGTGTATTGTGTGTGCTGTGTGTGCATGGTCAGTTGTGTATATGCGTGTGGTGTCTCTGTGCCCATGTGTCTTATATGTGTGTCTTGCTGCATACATGTGTGTGTGTTCATGTGTTTAAGGAAAGAAACGATGAAAGCAATCCAGTTACAGAGGGCTGCTCCTTCTGGTCTACACTGTGGAAGTGAGGGCTATGCTACAGCCTCAAGTCTAAAATCAAGAAGACACAGGCCATGGGGTTGGTATCATAGAGCTAGGCAGGATTTCTCTGTGCCCCTCAGAAACACCTCCAGACACATCTTCAGAAAGGTCCTCAGTGGCGCAGGTTGTCATCAGCGGCCTGTGACAGTGCCAAGAAGCAATTAGAGCGGCCACAGCAGCAGGGGCAGCCCGGCCAGGTGCTTCCCAGCCTCTGGCATCTGTCCCAGGGCGTTAATTAGAAGTGTCACTCTCCTCTCTCCAGTGGTGCAGCATTCCCGTTTCTCCTCCTGGGAAGTCAGAGACACACTGGCCGGGGTGAGTGGAAGTTCACCCTGGTGATCTTGTGTGGAACGGCCTCCGGCACCCGGTTCCTGGAAGCAGATCAGGCTGCAGAAGGAAGTCGGAAGAAGGAGAGGCGTGATGATCAAAGGCCTCTTTAGATTGTGTGTGGTCGCCATCAGCAGGCTCGCAGGGCTGGGAACAGGCCTCTGCTCCCCCCACCCCCCCGCAGTGATGCTGCCCTGGGGGCCCAACATGCTCCTCTGAAGACAAGACACAGGTGCCCCAGGCCTAAGTGTGTCCTCATTTGCACAGGGCATCTAAAACTCTGTGGAGGGTTTTTCTACACCCTGTTTCCTTTGAGCTCATCCCACCGTTCTTAGGATGAGTGACCAAGGGAAATCACCTCTTAATGGGGGCAGGGGGGAGGGAATGTTAATAATTAATCATTTCTTCATCTCTCCTGTCAAATTTCTTTCACAAAATGTGTTCTTTAAAAGTAATTCACTTGTGGGGTCTGCACTGTGGTGTAGTAAGCTAAGCCTCTGCCTGTGGCCCCAGCATCCCATATGGGTGCCAGTTCATGTCCCGGCTGCCCCTCTTCTGATCCAGCTCTCTGCTTTGGCCTGGGAAAGCAGTAGAAGATGGCCCAAGGCCTTGGGCCCCTGCACCTATGTGAGAGATCTGGAAGAAGCTCCTGGCTCCTGGTTCCAGATCAGCTCAGCTCCAGCCGTTGTGGCCATTTGGGGAGTGACCAGTGGATGGAAGACCTTTCTCTCTGTCTCTCTGTCTCTCTGTCTGTAACTCTGCCTCTCAAATACATAAATAAGTTTTTTAAAAAACAAAATAAAGTAATTCACTTTATTTTTTAAAAATATTTATTTATTTATTTGAAAGTCAGGGTTTGGCCGGCGCCGCGGCTCACTAGGCTAATCCTCCGCCTAGCGGCGCCGGCACACCGGGTTCTAGTCCCGGTCGGGGCGCTGGATTCTGTCCCGGTGGCCCCTCTTCCAGGCCAGCCCTCTGCTGTGGCCAGGGAGTGCAGTGGAGGATGGCCCAGGTGCTTGGGCCCTGCACCCCATGGGAGACCAGGAAAAGCACCTGGCTCCTGGCTCCTGCCATCGGATCAGCGCGGTGCGCTGGCCGCAGCGCGCCGGCCGCGGCAGCCATTGGAGGGTGAACCAACGGCAAAGGAAGACCTTTCTCTCTGTCTCTCTCTCTCACTGTCCACTCTGTCTGTCAAAAAAAAAAAAAAAATGAAAGTCAGGGTTACACAGAGCGAGAAGGAGAGGCAGAGAGAGAGAAAGAGAAAGAGAGAGGTCTTCCATCTGCTGGTTCACTCCTTAGTTGGCCACAACAGCAGGTGCTGCACCAATCCGAAGCCAGGAGCCAGGAGCTTCTTCCTGGTCTCCCACGTGGGGCCAGGGGCCCAAGGACTTGGGCCATCTTCTACTGCTTTCCCAGGCCAAAGCAGAGAGCTGAATCGGAAGTGGAGCAGCTGGGACTGGAACCGGTGCCCATAAGGGATGGGGGCACTGCAGGCAGCAGCTTTATCCACTACGCCACAGCGCCAGCCCCGTTAATTCACTTTCCTAGAGGCAAATACTAGGTGGCCACCAGGGACCAGGTACTATGCCTGGCAAATTATTTAGGTGTTATGAAATATTTCTGGGGACTCTCAAGGAAAGCCTGTGTCTGCTACAATACAGAGTCAGCTGGTCAAAGGAGCTACTTTGCTCCCTATTCTCAAACTAAAATCTGAATCCCGTAATTTACCATTCCAAGGCAAGGCCAGGCTAGAACATGCTGAACATCAGCAACAACTAAGGAGGAATTTTCCTTAATAAAGACTTACGAATACCACTGGAAAATGACCACTCAGAATCTTGACCTCAACAAACATGCACTAGTAAGATTTTCTGTTTGATGGATAAGATGTGCCATAGTCGGGGCCAGCACCATGGCTCACTTGGTTAATCCTCCGCCTGCAGCACCGGCATCCCATATGGGCGCTGGGTTCTAGTCCCGGCTGCTCCTCTTCCAGGCCAGCTCTCTGCTGTGGCCCGGGAGTGCAGTGGAGGATGGCCCAAGTGCTTGGGCCCTGCACCCACATGAGAGACCAGGAGGAAGCACCTGGCTCCTAGCTTCGGATTGGCGCAGTGCGCCGGCTGTGGCGGTCATTTGCGGGGTGAGCCAACGGAAGGAAGACCTTTCTCTCTATCTCTCCCTCTCACGGTCTAACTCTGTCAAAAAAAAATGTGCCATGGTCAAACTATATCAAAGACCACACTCCCCCACAGTACCTCGACCAGATGAATCCTGTACGTCCAGCCAGACTGGGTCACCCAGGATCTGCCGAGCACCCAGTGCACTCCTCTCTCCAAGTCTTGGCTCTTAGGTCTCTCCCTGTTGTGGTATCGTCCTGTGTGCTCTTTGTCCTCTGTCGCTCCAGGAGCAGCTTAACAGGCCCCTGCTCTCTGGGTTGAGCGCTGATGGCTACTGCTCGTGTGTAGAGGCTCAGACACAAAGGCAGGAACCTCTTGTGCTACCTCTGCCGTACCCCACCCAGGGCCCCAGACAGGTGCGCACTCAGTTGAGCTGGTAGCACCGGGGTTGCTTCCAGACTTCCTAAGTGTGAAAATACTTTCCTAAGTGTGAAAATTGGACCCACTCACTGAGCATTCCCCAATTCCAATTCTCTCATCTGGGATAATTTCTACTTCTCAGAACTGGATGACTTAAAAGGTACCTAGTATTCACCCAACAGATTTTTCCTAAGGGTTTTCTTGGTGCCAGACTCACAGTGACTGATACAAGGTTGGCGTTTAATAAATAAATATTGTTGAAATTATTAAATATTCAGATTTATTAAATGGGTCTCTAGGACTTGTCTTACTAAGGAAAAGAATTATTAGCTTGAATATAGATTCTGTTTCTGCAGTCTGCTTTCCTTCTTGTATTTTTTCCCAATGTGCTAGATGCAAAAGAAAATAGAAAGAAAATTAATGATTTAACATTCCATGTTCATTATCCCATCCATAGTCACATCTTATATCCAACCATTTGGATTTTTGCTGCATGTACTATTGAAGTATCTGAAATAAAAATAATAGGTACCAGTGTAAACACATCTTCTTACCTCTTGTATCAATCAAATGACACTTGTCGGGTAGCATTTTATTAAGCCAGCCTCAGTGTTTAAGAGAATAGGAGACTTGTGAAAGACATAAAAATTATCTGGAAATACACAAAACTTTTCCTAAAAAGATGAATTAGACTTTGTCTGTGTGT